TTAATTTTATTTATTTATTTTTTTCATACATAATTTAATTTTTTATAAAAATTATATAAATAAATTAATTTAGGAATATAATTTTAAATAAAAATTTATACTAAGGACATTTATATATATATATATATATATATATTAGCTTTAATAAAACATAAATAATTTATAATATTAATATTTTATTTAATGTTCAATATTATATAATTTTTTTTTTATTATTTTATAAAAAAAACCAATATTTTCACTTTTACTATACTTAAGGATATCTTACATATTAATAATCTGAAATTTACTATTAAAAAAGCCTTAATGTACAGAAATTCTAAATATTTTTACGAAAACCTAATGAAAAAGGTGATCCGAAAGATTTGGGAATTTCTTATAAATAGCTTATATTATTCCAAGCTAAATATTCCCCTTTTTTTTTTAAAAAAAAAATATAAATAAAAAATACGTATAATTACAAGTTGATAAATTTTTAACAGCCAAAAAAGTATGGAAGAAAAGAATTCCAGAAACCATAAAGAAAAAAAGCTAATAAAAATTAAATCCAAAAGTACATATAAATTATAATATACTTAGCTAACATATACCTAAAATATAAATAATATATATATATATATATATATATATACATATATATATATATAAATAAAATAAAATAATATTTACTATATAATAAGCCGAAATAATTTAAATATTTTATAATACTAAAAACCAATAAAATACACATTTATTTTTTCTCCCACACAATTTCCAATCCAAGGACAATGATGATCAAACATCGAAACACATTTTTTACATTCTTAACAATGTTTTGCCCTAACAGGAACTTCCAAAAAGCAGATATTACAATATCTTTTTTCGATAAAAGGAAAGCAAGAATCCAAATGGAACCTAATATCATTGTTTTTAACTTCTTATATTTATTTTTCCAATTATTCAACTATTCCTCCTTTTGTTATAATAGATTATTTCATTTAATTACTATAATTATTGCTTAATTATAAGCTTTAAGTAATATTCTATTATTAATTCATAATATTATTTATTTATAAATTTAAAGAAGGGTTTGTATTTTCTTTAGAAGTTAATTAATTTAAAAAAATAACTTTGTTTTAATTTGTTGTTTATAAATATTATTATTCTTAATTTGTCGTGTATTTTGTACTTCCTTCTTCACCTTGACTCGTAATGTCTTTACTATTTAATTTATTTTAGTCTTCAATTTAATTATTTTATGAATTTTCATCTGATTTTTAACTTATATTATTATCTTAAATATTTGAATTTATTTATTCTAATTTTAAAATATATTTATTTTGATTATCTATTTAATTTTCAATATTATTTTCAATATTAATTTCAATATTATTTTCTTCATTAGCTTATTATGGATAGTTATCTTAATCTGAAGAATTTTAAGATTAACAATTTTATTCAAAATTAGATATGTCTTTATATTTGTCTATATTTATTGATGTTAATTCACATTCTACGATTTCATTTTCAAAATTTTATTAATCTGATTATTCTTATTAAATTTAGAAATTTTATTATTATTAATCTTTATTTTCTATATTTTATTATTATTCATTTAATTTTATTTACATATCATAAGAGAAATTCTTATATAATTAAGGTTATTATTATTATTATTATTATTATTATTATTATTATTATTATTATTATTATTAGTATTATTAATTTTTATTTTTTTATTCTTATTAATCTTTATTTTCTATCTCATCTACAAATCTTTAGTAGTTTTTTTTATTTTTTTCTAATTTCATTTTTTTTTTTTTTTTATTTTGATTTTAATTCTGATTTTAATTTTTATTTTCATTTTCATTTTCATTTACATTTTTATTTTGATTTTAATTATATATTTACTCTTAAATTTTACTTTACTTATTTTTATATATTTTATTATTTTATTATTAATTAAAATAAATTATTACTTTTGAATTTATTTTTATATCATCTTAATTTTTTATTATTTACTTAATATTTTTTTAATTTTCATTTTTCTGTTAATTAAATGTTCTTTTGAAAAAATACGAAACAAACGTATTTATTCTTGATATAGACTTATTATTTTCATTCTTTTTTTATTTTTTATATATTAAAATACTATTTTTTTTTTTTTAAAAAAAAAAATATTTAACATTATCAGTTTTTTTTTTTGCTATTAATAACTTCCTATATAACCTGGCTATTTTTTTTTTTTATTTCTTTTAGTTTATTAAAAAAAAAAAAAGAAATTAAAATACATCTGATTAATTTAATATTATAAAAATAATTAAAGTTAAAGTAGTAATAAAGAACAAAAATAAAATTAAACGTTCTTAAATAATTAAATCATCATAACCAAAAAAAAACAAAGCAGAAATAAGTAAAGTTTATAAAAAAATATAAAAAATAAGTGATATCGTTTCTATTTTATAAATTTATATTATAAAAAAAAGTAATATATAATAATATTTATATATATATATATATATTAATTGATTTACTTTTCATTTTATTACAATTATTTATATATTTATATTTTGATTATGATTTTTTGAATATATTATTTCAAAAAAAAAAAAAAAAAAAAAAATTTTTTTTCTTAAAAATTAATTAATTTAAAAATTGAATAAATTTAGAATCTAATATTTATTAAAAAAAAAATATATAAAATTACATAAATTTATATTTTTTACATTATATTTTTAAATATAATCATTATTTATTATTTTATATTTTTAAATATATAAATTTGATTTATTTATTTCGAATAAAAAGATAAAAATTATAATCACAAACATGAAATATACATAAACATCATTATATCTAAAAAATTATAATTTTTATTTAAAAAAAAATATAAAAATATCTAATAACAATAAAATACTTTTATGTAAACCGTTTATTAATTCTTATAATAATAATAATATATATATTAGTTTTTTTATTCAATTTGGTATAGTACATCCAATTATTGATATATAATTGTTACAATATTATCCAAAGACACTTCTATCTACACAATGTCCTTTAGTACAACAATTAATTAAATTTAAGCCACAATTTTATCCTCCTACTTCATTACATGAATTTATACAATCCTATCTATATGGTAAATAATAAAATCTAATTGGCTTAGAATGTTTTTTAAACAGAAACTAATTATTATTAAAAATATTAAATTAAAAAAATTTTAAAAGTTTATTATTAACAAAGAATTTAATAAAATTAAAAATATTAACAGAGTAAATATAAACACTAAAAATTTTTTATCCATTTTTAAATTTTTTAAAAAATATAATAAAAAACATATAAAATTATAATGTATAATAAAATAGTAAGATAAATAACTATTACATAGATATTATATTAATATAGTATTTTTTTTTTTTTTAAAAAAAAAAAAAAAAAATTGCAATTAATAAAAATAAATTAATATAAAAAATATATTAAAAAAAACAAATTATATTTAAAAAAAATCTAAATATAAAATTATTAATTTTAATGTATAAAATTATAATAAAAAATTATTAAAATAAAATAAATATATACAATATATATAAATATGTTTTTATTTTTATTTATACACAATTACAGTAAATATTTTTTTTTTTTATTAATTTATATTATTTCAATTATTTAATTTTATTTTTTAAATATTTTTTGTTTATTATGTACTTTATCATATATAAATTTTGTTTATTTTCTTATATATTTATTTAAATTTATATTTTATTGATTATTCGTGTTCAATATTTAAGTTTTTATATAAGTAGAAATGTTATAAATAAAGTAGTTTTTAAATAACAATCTTATTCTTTTTTTAGAGAAAATTATATTGAAAAATACGGATAATAATATTAATCTTTTCAATTTTATCATTTAAATTATTACATTAATAAAAGTCTATTTTTTTGTGTTTTTATTTTAGGCTATTCATCAGATTTTAATTAAATTAGGATATTATAATCTTTGAGTATAAAAAAGAAATTGAAATATATTAATTATTATTAAATTTATAACTTATAAACTATTACTATAAGTTTAATTAAATAAAATATTTCTTCTTCTGTACCACTGATTAGTTAAAATATTTCTTTAATTGAAGTTTTATTAAAATTATATATAAAATTCTATTATGTATGATATTTTCTTGTAAAAAATAAGTTTATTAAATAAATTTTTTTTATAAACTATAAGAAAATTGTAAAAAATAATATAATTAAAATAAATTAGTAGAATATTAAATAATATAAAGGTTGTAATTCGCAAGTTGATTCGAGTTAGAAAATGTTCGAAAATTATTTAAAGTTTTAACTTATTTGATGAAGAACCTTAAATATATAAATTACGGGGAAAGTATAAAAAAATATAACAAAAATAATAACAAATATTTCAATTTTTTTTTTTTTAAATAAAAAAATAAATTTTATCACATAAAATTCATAAATTATAAAATAAAATATAAATATTAAGATTTCTAACAAATTCAATATTATAAATTGATAATTATAAATACATAAAAAAAAAGTAGAGACATATATAATTATATATATATATATATATTTATATATATATATATAAATATATTTATTTTAATTTTTATTAATATTTTATTTAATTTTAATTTTTATATATATTTTGCAATTTTCTTTATAAGTTACAATACGAATAATAAAATGTTATAAAATAATATATATTTATTTAATAATACTTAAAAATTTTATAATATTTATATATATATAATTACTTTATTTTTTATTTATATATAATTTATTAAATTTTTTAATAATATTTAATATTTTTTCGTTTCCTTTTAATAAAAATAAAATAAAAGCTATTACATAATTTAAAATATCTCACATTATTAATTAAAAAATTTTATTTTTATATTATTTTTTTAAAATATAAAATTTTTAAATTTTATTTTTACAATTATAATTTAAAAATATATGTATTAAAAAAAAAAAAATATTTAATTTTTTTTATTTAATAATAAATCCAAATAAAAAAAAAAATAACATAAAATACTAAAAAAAAAAAATAACCATCAAACTCTTAAAGAATTTTTAATTTTGATCATAAGAAGGTAAAGAGTTAGCCAAAGCTCCTTAAACTACAAAAGTAGGATTTTCATTTAAAGCCTAAAGAACAGCATTTTTACACTTAATCAGTAGTTACTTAATCAATTAATTCACTGTATTAAGTATGTAAAACTTTTCCAAATGTTCTAAACTAAAATAAAAAAAAATAAATTAAATATATGAAAATAAAATATATATTTATATATATATATATATATTTAAATGTATATATATATTTATATATTTATTTATATAAGTATATATTACATTTCTAGCGCTTTCCTCTAATCTATCAGTTTATCTTTCCATAGCATTTAAAATTTGATTTTTAAGATGATTTTTAGCAATATTTAATTCATCTTAAGAAATGTTATTTGCCAATCCTTTCAATTCTGCAATACTAAGGTCTAATAATTATCTACTTTTATCGGAAGATCCTTATAATTTTAAACCAAAGAGTCCACTATCAGTAAAATGGAAATTAAGACTTTCAGCATTATCAACAAATGAGTGTTTATTTAAAACTAAAATATATATAAAAATTTTTTTTTTTTAAAAAAAAAAAAAAAACCATTTTTTCTTAATCTTAAATTTTAAAGAAGTACTTTAGCTAAATTGAAAGCGAATAAATTATTAGATTTCCAATTTGCAGATTAGAATAAAAGAGCTAAAACAGTTTAACTTTCTTCAGTTAAATTTCTCACTTCACCTCCTTGGTATTCACTTTTTTCTCTTACATGTTAGCTTTCTTAATTTCCAACTGCAATATTGCCTAATTTAGATTATACAAGCTCTACAAATTCTTCATGATGTTCAACACCTGAAGCACAAACATAAATTTTATGAGGTGCAATATTTTACAATTAAAACTTTTATAATACAAAAGAATTCAAATTTTTAACATTTCCTTTTAATCCTTTTAAAGGTAAACCTAAACCTTAAAATCCATAAGCTGTTCTGTAATAATATATATATATATATATATAATTTTTATAAAAACAAAACAAATAAAAAACTTGAAAACATATTCATTAAATAATTCACCAGTCTTTAAATAAGCATCTAGTTTGTGAGTATTTTGATTCTTCTCTATTGCTACGCTTGATGCTACTGCACTTCTGGGCTCTAAAGCACAATCTGCTACCATTGAAAACACATCAACGAAATCATGAGCAAGACAATTAGCTTTAAAATAAGAAGTTTCTTAGTCATATTCCATTTCGAAACTTCCACCTGATTATTAAACAATACCACTTTTTAATTTATATATAAATATAATTATTTATTTATTTACTAGTTAACTGTTTCATTTGTGTTTAAACAGGTTTTTAAGTAAGTGTTTTTTATTGATAATAAAGCTCCAGAAGTTTCAGTGTTTTCATCTCTTGTTCCTACATCTAATAGAATACCTATAAAATAATATTTTAAATTTTTTTTTTTTTAATATTAAAAAAAAAAAAATTATAATATAATATAATATATCTATATTTTTGTTATTTATTTATTTTTTTTTAAAAAAAAAAAAAAATTGTTTTTCTTATATATATTTTTTTATTTTATTAATATTTTTTTTTTTTAATTGATTTTTTATTTTATATATGTGTTCTTTTTATTTATTATTACCGACATCAACCTGTGATGGGAATGTTTATTATTCAGTAACAACTGTAATTCCATTTTATAATTTAGTTTATTAATATTAAAGTGGAAGTTCATCAATTGTTTCAGAAGTATGAGTCTTTATTTATTTATTTTTAAAAAAAAATCATAATTGACTATATATTAAAGTTTATTTTAAATTAATTTTACTTTTAAAGGAATTCTAGGGTCTGCATGTGTAGCCTAATATTAAGGAGTAGATTTATCATCTCTATATATAAAATCATAGAAAGTTCTTTTTATAGAGAAATTTTGCTTTTACTAATTTTTTTAAATTTATTAATAATAAATAAATGATTATAAATTTAAGTATTTTTTTATATTTAAGAGTTTAAAAATGTAATTATATTTAAAAAAAAAAAGATTTTTTTTTTTTATATTAACTTGTTAAAATAAAGATCTTAAAACTTTTTGGGCTTATAATTAAATCATTTTTTTTTGTTTATTTTCTTTATAAATATATATTTATGTTTTTTTGTAATAATTATTTTATTTGTATTTATATATATATTTTATCTTTATAATTTATTTGTATTTAAATATTTATTTTCTAATTATTTTATATTTACAAAAAAATTATATATATAAATATTTTATTTATTTAATATTATTTCATATATTATTAATAAATATATATATATATATTTATATATATATATATATATATTATATATATATATAATATTATTTAATAATATATATTTCTATTTAAAAATTAACTAATAAATACAAGAATTGTACTTATATTTTCAACGTAATAAAAAAAAAAAAAAAAAATAATAATATATATAATAATGTCTGATAAATTGTTCATAAAACTAAAGCAGCAAATAAATAAATAAATAGAAATTCCGAATTAAAAAAAATATCCCTCGTTTATAAATACTTAAAAAATATAAAACTAGTATTAATTAAACAGGTTATAATCATAAAGTTCAAGCAAAAGTAATTTTAATGGAAATTCACAACAATAAATTACAATTTAAATATAAGAAGACGAAAACGAATCACATGTTTCCCAAAATATTTAAAGTAAAATAATATATATATATATAGTAATTAATAAAAAAAATAAAAAGATAAAGATTTAGATTTAGATTGTAGAATTGAAATAGAAAATAAATTTAATAGAAGTGAGTGCAATAAAAAGTTTAAATTTCCAAAAAATAAAATTTTTAAATATAAAATTATGAATTCGACTTCTTTTTCATCCGCATCTTCATCTGAAAACTCTTCTGTTTAATCACTAGAAGGTGTTTCTATATATAATTTACATGAATAAAATATGAAAAACTACTAAAAAGAATATTTAAAAAAAGTATATTAAGATTAAACGCAAAAAGAGACAAAAAATAAAGAAATTTAAATAAAAGTTAATAGAATGAAAACCGAAGGAAATGAATAAAACGAAAATATTTATTCTTATGAAAACCTTTGTTTATAAGAAAATGAAAATAAATAATATTATTTACAATAAAGTGAAAATAATAATAAACTTTTAAAAAATAATAATATTAATAAAAATCTTAAAAAATAAAACAATTTTGGAAATTATGAAGGAATTTTAAATTAATAATAAACATAAAATTTTTACAATAAAAACATCTTCTAATAAAATAATTTTAATAAAATTAACAATAAATAATAAAGTAATAATAAATATATTAATTTAAATAAAAGCTTGGGAGGTATATAGAAATAAATTATAATAAATAATCCTAACTAATAATAAAAAACTGTAAAAAATACATAAAAAAGCAAATAGTCCAACAAAAACAATATAACATAAATAATTAAGTAAATAAATAAATATATAAAAATATTATAAATTAAACAAAAATAATATTAGTATTAAATTGAATAATAATAATAAATTTTCTTTCAGATAATAAGAAAATAAATAGAAAAGGAATATTTAAAATCAAAACAAAAGTAGTAAATAGTCAAACAATTATGAAAAAAATCAAAATTTAATAAATGATTCATATATATTAAAATAACTAAATACCCAAAAATAAAGAAATACAAATAGTTTTTATTAAAAAAATAAAATACAAACAAAATTAAATAAAAACTAAAATATAATTAAAAATTAAAGCAGTATGAACATACAAATAAATTAAAAAGTACCAATAATGTAATATAAAAAATCTATAAATAATCAAAAAGAAAACAATAATTATTCGGATATAAATTAAAGAATTTGCACAGAACCAGCAAGTAATATAAATGAAGATTTCGAGATTTTTTAAAATTTATCTAATTTAAAAAAATCATAATCCAAGTAAAGGTAAATTAGAAAAAAAAAAAAAAAGTTTAATTAATTTTATTTAATGTTTTAAACAAAAAAAAAATAGATAAAAAAGTATGAGAATTGATAAAAATTCTATAAAAAGAAATTAAAAAGTGATCTCTTCCAAAGGGAATTCATTAGAAAATAATTAATAAGACATATTTGGAAATCAAAAGATAGAAATTAATAATATTTTACTAAATAATAAACCATCATTTAATTAATAGTAAATTTTAATAAATAAAGGAAATGATATTTAAAATAATTATTATTTTTAAGACTAAAATTTAATAAATTAATAAATAATAAAAATGAAAAATTATATAAATTTGGATTAGAAAATACAATATTAAAATGGATATTAAAATTATTAATAATTTTAAAAAAATTAAATTTTTAAAAAATAATAAGATATGTATAAAAATTAATAATAACAAAATAATAGTAATAATCATGAAATAAATTATTATAAATAATAAGTTTAATTATATTAAAAATAATTAAGATGATTTATTTTTTAACTAAAATATATATATATGTATATATATATTTATATATATATATATATATATATATATATATATATTTATATATATATACTTTTATATTTTATATATTTATTTGTAAATTATATTAATCTCTAGTTTATTTAATTTTTTTTATAATATATAAAAATTTATTGGTTTAATTTTTTATTTTTTTTTCAAATATAATTTTTTTTAAAATTATATAATTTTTAATCCATTAAATTAAGTTTTTCTTTTATTAGTTTAGCATTAACTTAAATATCATAATCAACATTATTAAAAAGTAGTTTATGTTATAAAATATTATTTATTTTATCTTAAATAATATTTGGAACTTTAAAAAATGCTTTCAACCTAGCAATTTATTCAAATTAATTAGTTGGATTATATAAAGGAATTTCCAGATTTTACTAATAATTTAAATTTTAGTTTTAAATTTTAATCAAATCAACTTTTCCTTATGCTAAAACAGTATTATTATCATAATCAATTATTTAAAATTCAAAAATATATTAATTTTCTTCTTTTCTATCAGTTACAACAAATTAGCATTTTACTTCTTTATAATCCCAATTTACATTCAAATTGTTACAATTAAATTAAGCTGAAGTTTTTTATGATTGGTTATTAAAACTTATCTTCACAAATATATTTATTTATTTGTTTTTTCGAAATTCTTCGATGTTTTCTAATTATGCTGATATAACATATATTTAAAGATAATCTTTTATTTTTTTAAAAATCTATATTTATTTTTAATAAAAAAACCTTGTTTAAAAGCATTTGTAAATGAAAATGAATTCAAAAAAATAATATTATTTTCCATATATATTTCTATTTTAATTAATATGTAATTTTTATAATAATTTTTATTATTTTATCCATAATAAAAACATAATTATAATTTTATTAAGTAATATTTATAGTATATATTTTTAATATTTTAATTAATAATTATATTTAAAAAAAAAAATTTATAGAATTTATAAAATAATATATATTTATATATATATTTAAAAAAAAGAATTAATAAAAATATTATATCTATTTTAATATTCCATTCATTTATCAGATATTCTTGGTTATAGTCTTTTTTAATGTTAATAAAAATAAATTAAATAATTTTTAATATATATATATAAATTTTACTCAGGATCTCTTTTAATAACTTTCGCAGCATTATTTAGCACTTCCATAGTTTTTCTAATAGATTCTCTTTCTTCTGCAACACTTGGAGGCTTGAAAATTTTAATTATATATTATAAAAAGTATAAAATTAATTTACTTCAGCAATACTATTCAATGATTCTTCATTTCTTAGTAATTCATTATATAATTAAAATTATAATTAATCCTAAGAAGCTTTAACCAAGAAAAATCCAATTGATTTAGGAATAGTATCTCTAACGTTTCTTACTAAGATCGAAAAATAATTATCAACTCTTTATCTTAATTCATTAATGAAAGCTTTTTCTATATCAGCAGAGGAGACTTATTTTTATTATTGTTATTATTATTATTAATTAGAATTATTTTATTATTATTATGAATTAGGTTATGCAACAGCAGGTTCTTAATTCTATATATTTATATAAATACATATATATATAAAATTATAATTTATTTATATATATATATAATTTTTTTTACAGGTATCATATTAGTTCTTTATTATAAATAATTTATATCATTAGTAAATAAATATCCTTATTCTTAATCAATTACATTACTAATGACTACTTTTGCTTCATCTCTTAACTATTTAGATATTATTTATTTTTTAATATTATTGTATTATATAAAAAAAGAAAAGTACATTCTATAACACTCTGCTAGTTATTTCAATAATAGTTTCTAAAACAAAAGGGAATCTTTCGAATGTTTTTTTCAATATTTTATTAGCTAAACCTTCTAAATAACTATAAATCTTCTATAAACATTCATAAGCAGGTTCTCTCAGTTTTTCCAATTAAGGATTAATTAAATAAAGGAAAGCATCAATAGACGGAAATCCAGGTATAGAATCACCTTAATGTAATTAAATTCCAGTTTTAATATCATTATCAGTATATTCTCTTGTAGCCCTATATCCTTTTTATACAAGATCTTCATATAATTCATTAAACTAGCATTTTTTGTTAAAAAAATAAATAAATAAAAATAATAAAATACCATCATTCTAATAACTGACCCACCAGATAATTCTTTATGAATAGTAGTTCTTTTTTAATCATATTTTCCTTTAATACTATTTCTATAATTATCAACAAATTCAGTGATAAGAGTCCATATCATTTACATTTTCTCTTTATTTTATCTAGGAAGTGAAGGTCCTAATTCATTTAAACGATCTTCGCATTCTTTAATTTTTTCTTTAATTTCTTTTATGATAGAAGGTAAAAAAGTCCTTATATGATCAAAAAGTACATTACTTAATTTCGTAGTAAGAGATTTTGTACCTAAATATTTAGGATCCATAGTTGAATAAACAGGATGTTTTTAGAAAAATTTATTCTCTTCTTCTAAAGCTTTTTATACTCTTATCCTATTATCTATATCTTATTATGATCTATTTACAACTCCTATAAATCCCAATTTTAATTATATATCTTATCCTAATAAACTTCTTCTTGCATTTGTTCCTTTATCCATTATATCAAGCTATTATATTAATTTATATATTTAAATATAAATATAAATATAAATATAAATATAAATATAAATATAAATATTTATATATTTTTTTATTTATATATATATATTTATATATTAAATTTTTTTACTTTAGTTATAACACCAACTGTTCTGTTTCCTTCCTTATCAACTTCCCTAGCTAGTTATAAACCATCAGAATTCGATATATCTTAGTTTCCAGGAACTACACATAATATAATTGTACGATCATCTTTTATATAATGCATGGCCATTTCCTTTGTTAATTATTCAACATTGACTGATTAATCGGAATCTTTTAATGGAATTCTAGTAATTCCTGGTAAATCGATTAATGTTAAATCTAAGCAATCATTTGAATATACTGTCATTATGATAGGATCATTTACAATGGCTTTTTTTTTACCTGCTACTTAATCTGTAAGAAACTCTATTTATTAACGTACTTTATCAAAGTCTTCATATTTAATTTTTTTATCATTTTCAAATATGGCATATGGTTTTATTTTTTAAATATCTGTTTTTTTTTTTTTGTTAAAAAATAAATTATAAAAAAGAATATTTTTATTTACTTTCTGGTACACGAACTAATCTTAATTCTAAAGGTCTCCTTGTTACTACTCCCTTTTTTTTATTTATTTTATTTCGAAAAAAATAGTATTTTTTACTGATCCTCTTGGAAGAAAATCTAACCCTACTATATTTTCTAAAAGGGAAGATTTTCCTGAAGATTGTGATCCGACGACTGCTATTCTGGGAAGTCTTATATACTCTTGGAGACCAACATCTCTTAATTCATCTACTACATTTATAAGCCTACGAAGATTATCAAATAAATACGATGTGCCTTATCCTTATTCTTCTTTATTTTCTGAAGACATGGTTTTTTATATTTTTATTAAATTAGTATTTTTATTTATTATATTAATTTTTTATAAAATTATATATAAATATTTATTTTTTTAATGTGAATATTTATTTAGAATTTTTTTCTTTTTCTCAAATATATAATTATTATTTATATATATAAAAACCATATTTATAAATATATAATAATATATATATATATATTTAAATATATTATATTTTTTTATATTTAATAAAAAAGAAATAATAATAATAATCTTTTTATTAAATTTATAGAATTTTTTTAAATTAATTTTATTTTAGAAAAATCAATTATAAATAAGTTATAAATATGAATTTTAAATTATATAAATATTCAAAATTTACATTAAGATTATTATTCTTGTTTTCATATATTTTTAATTTTTTTAAAATCAAATAAAAAAAATATCTAATATAATAAAAATAATTAACTTAATATATAAATAAAAACTCATAGTTTTCTTCCTTTCTAATTAACATCATATTATTATTAATAATATTAATTTTAATCATTTATTAATCCTAATTATTATGCATTACTATTATTATTTTGAATTTAATTAAAATGTATGTTTTCTTCTTTATTATCTTCTTTTTATTATCCACTAATCATATCATATAATGGGAAAGTAGTTGCTTTTTAATTATAGAATTATTAACTTTAATTTGTCGGTTAATAATAAATTCCTCTTTGCAAATTGGGGATATTTATTTAAGGATATATTTAATAATTCATTCTAAATTAATATTATTGAAACATTTAATCATCCTAAGTATTTTAGATAATAGAATTTTCTATGGGTAAATCTAAATTTTTTTAAATAATATTATTATTTGGTTAATTAATCCATTAATTACTTTTACCATTTTAATATAATATATTATTTAAAGCAGAAAATTAAGTTTATTAGTTTATATTTTGATTAAATATATTAAATTAATTATTATAATTATTTTAATTATTTATATTTTATTATTAAAATTTACTGTTTTAAACACTATGATTTTATACGATATTATTAATATTATTGATATTATTATAATAAGAATTTTAATACTAACTATATTTCGGATTCATACAGTTCAATTATTATTATTATCTTTCCTTTTTTATAATTAATAAAAATTAAAAAAATAATAATTTGTGTATAAAATGTCTTACTTTTTCTATATGATAGATTAACTTTCCAATTTAACTAACTGATAATAAAGGCGATATTTTATCTATTAAAAATTCAATCTACTACTGTTATTAAAAGTATAGTTTTTATAAGCTTTACATCTCATAAAAAATGCTTAAAAATATGGTATTTTTAAATAATATAATTAATATCTTTATATAAATTATTTAAAACTTTAATTAATTATATATATATATATATATATATATATATATATTTATATATATTTATATATATTTTTTTATCTATATAAAATTGTTTTAGTTATATAAATTTATATTTTTTTCTATTTTAATTTTTTTTATACGAAAGTACTTTTTAAACTATGTCCTTTATTCTATCATTTATCTTAAAACTGGTAGTGCGCAGTATAATTAATTATCATTTTCGGGTATTTCTATTATATTTTTAAGGATTTCCACACATTTATTAAATTCGTTATCTTCTATATTTTTTATCAAAAAAAATATTATATAATTTACAAAAACAAAATATAATTTAACCAAGTTAATCATCTTATTCATATCCATATAAAAAATATTAATAATTATTTTCTAAATATCCTTTATAAATCTATTTAAAAAATAAATTTAATGATTGCTGTCTTGCTTTTCCTGTAGCACCTTGCCTTAACTATATTTTTTTTTATTTAAAAATATAAATATATATATATATATATATAATTTAAATGACTCTAAATGAATCACAAATTAAGTTTAATTAATCTTCATTAACTATTTTATCATTTAATATTTTATTAATTCTGTCTATATAACTATATCTTTCTTATACTAAAACCGAAAACTTATACATATTTATATAAATCTAAATAAATAAATTTTGAAAAGAATACTTAAAAATTTTCATTTAAAATTTCCGATATAGCATTTTAATTTCTTTCTATATTAGAACATATATCTTCTATTTCATTATTTAAAATTTTAACCTTAATTTTTTTATATTTTTTTAATTTTTATTTTTTTTCCTTATATATTTAAATTTTTTAACTTTTTTTTCTAATAAATCAATATAAATTTTTTTCCTCTAACGTGAATTTCTAGCTGATTCTCTATTTTTTTTTAATCTTTTATTTTCATTAGAATCTTCGAATTTTTAATCATTTTATTCATCGGATTTTGAGTAGGTACCTAAGTCGTCATCATCATCATCATCACTTTCTTTAATTTCTTATTTTACACTATTTTTAATAAAAAAAACTTACAAATGGTTTATTTTTTTGTTACTTTTTTTATTAAATTAGATTATTTTCACTTTTGTTAATCTTTATTAAAGAGGAAATTTTTTTAATATAAGTATTTTTAACGTTTCCTTTAATTTTACTAATTTATATATTATCATTATTATTTGCTATTTTAGATAGTTTATTATGCGACTCATTTTTTATGATTTATTATTAATTTTAAATCTAACAAATATAATGTTGGAGTATTTATTAATTTTACATAAAATTTTAATCATCTTTTAATTATTATAAATTAATGTTTTTCTCACTATTTTTTTTGTATATAATTAATTTGTTTATGTACTTTTATTTTTTTTAACCTTTTTATTTCTCTTTTTTAGTTATGACCTTATTATTCATTAACTTCATGTGATATTATTTGAGAAGGCTTAAAAGCCTATTTTTTTTATTAATTAAAACTCATTTTTTATATATATATATATGTTTTATTCTCTTTTTTTTTTTTTTTTTTAAAAAAAAAAAATATTCAACTAAATCAAAATAATTAATATATAATATAATTCACTAAAAAAATAATAATAATAAAAAAAATATCCTTTAAAAAAAACAAAAAAAACAAAATTAAATAACACAAATACTAAAAAATAAAACTAAAAAAATAAACAAAACATAAAATATATATATATATATATATAAATAAATAAAACTAAAAAATATGAGTTTTTTTCGATTTCTAGCCCAAACCTCACCCGGCCTTGAGCCATATTTATTATCTGAACTAAAAAAGTTTCCCACATCCGACCCAAAATACCGTTCAGACATAAATCATTATTAATTTAATACTACATATGATACTATGTACAGAATTCTACACGAATCTCGTTCTATAGAGTCTTTAAAATTACAAATGGGTCCCCGTATATAGGCTCGTAGTGAGGAGGAATTTAAATAAAGTTTACAAAGAATTCCCTTTCATGCATTTTTACCTATAAAAAATCTCCATATATATAATTAACCTGAAATAATAGCCCGAAGTTTTCGTTCAATTCTCTATCATGAGAAATTAATAAAGGAGATTTTTGAAAAAGAGTTAAACTTATCTCCCATTCGATAAGAATATAAGCAATTAAAGCCTGATAGAAAACTAATAGAGCACAAAAAGGAACTTATAATACAAAACAGGGAACTAATCAAGCAAAAAAATCCTCTTTTATTGGAAAATAAGCCCCGAATTCCCCCCATATACATTTATATGATTCAAGACAAGGCCGAAATAATGCTCCAAACGCACTTAGATTCCTTACATAAACATGGAATTAAGAAAAAAGTTGGTTGGGCGCCTTTAAAAGAAGGTATTGTATCACATATGGTTGAAAAATGGTTAAAATTAGACCAAAAAGTGAAGATTTGGGATCCTTTTTGTGGCTGTGGAACTATTCTTTTAGAAATACTGCAATTTTGCTCCGGCCGAAAAATTCGCGAAAGATAAAGCCTGGAGTTTTTATAAGGATTTCCATTATAAGACTACGAAAAATATGTAAAAGAAGAAAAAGTATTCGAGAAAGATTTTTTAATATAAAAAAATATCCAATAATTAATAGGAAGTGACATAAACTATTAATAAATTGGTGATTTTAAAGAAAATATACACCAAATGAGCCTAAAACAGGAAAAAAAAAACACTTTCCCACCTTTTTATCCCCAATATAATTTTCTTGACTCTAAATTAAGTCTCTTAAATGCCGATTTCGAGTCTATAGGGAATATTTTAGACTTAAAAGGGACTATTATTATTACTAATTTACCATATGGAATACGAAGTGGGATAAAAATGAATTAAAAATAACATTAAGATGTATATAAAAGATTCTCTAAATTTCTAAAGAAAAATTTAGACAATTTAATGGATGTTTTTGTCTATTGTACGATTGAAAAAACTTACTAAGATTCACATTTTTTAGTTATTTCGGAGTTAGGCTGGAAGTTGAAACATAAATATAGTCTCGGAGGTATTTAAATAGGACTTTTTCAATTAAATAAGGAATAGTAAACAGGAAATTTCGAGCTTTTGGATGAAAGTGAGAACTTTTTATAAGAAAAAAAAGAAATAATACTATCTAAAGAAGAAAGAGATTTAATAAAATAAAAAAATAAAGAAGATAATAAATAGGAATTTCTCGAAAATATGATTAAAGCAAAAATTGTAGGCGAAAATATCAAAAATGAGCTCAGTAAAAAAATACATTCTAAAAAATAGATATCATCAATAGTAAGAAGGAAAAAAGAAGAATATGTAAGAGCTTTAAGATTAAGAAAATTAAATTAAAAAAATTCGCTAGTTTAATCTTTTAACGAGAAAATTATTTAATAGAGAATTACAAGGAAAAGATAAAGAAATAGTAAAGAAATTATCAAAAATGTACTAAAAATTAAAGATAATTAAGAGGAAATTAAAGAAAAGATTCAAGAATAAATAGATGAAGCCTTAGATAAAAAAATAATTAAAGTAAATTAATTAAAAGATTAAAGAAAATAAAATAAAAACAAAATTCCAAAATGGAATTGAAAAAAAAAATACAATTTGTATAATTAATTTTATTATAATTTA